GAGGAGGGGGAGGAGGAGTGGAATTAATTGCATCACTCGATCACGTGCAGGCTCGTTAGCGGCGGCATGTTCAAGTTATCGGCGCGTGTTAATTTTTTTTATTAAATTTCTTTGTTCCTCCCCCTCAATTTTTTTCCTCAATGAAACATCGTTAAATTCATTATTGGTATTAGTGATGATTAATTAACGCACGGCGTTAATTTTTCTTCATTGGTTTTTTTTTTTTGGTCAATTACAGTGCAGCGAGCTTGTTCTCGTCATTTCGAAGGTGAAATCAATTATTCTGGTGATTTTTTTTTTTTTGGAGGGGGGAAGATATCGATGGGAATTATTAACGCTTGAGTAGATTTAATGATGAAATGAGGTGAGAGAGAGTGAGTGGATGAAAGGAATCAGCAGAATGACAGGCAGCAACTAATCATTCCCACAACATTATGGTACGATAAAAGACAAGTTAAGAAATTAAGACTCACCTCCTGCAGAAAACCAGGATATCATGCCATTTTTTGTATCGTGCGAGCACCAACAATATTGCAAAGAATACAAGAAACATATTAGCTTATTTTATAATTCATGTGATTAATAAACCACCACCTTCACGTACAGGAATAATTAACGATTATTATCGATTGTGTGATTGAGAGAGTTGTGAATTTGAGGCAGAGTTGAAATAAATGTGTGGGAAGTCCCGAGAATAGTCAAATAAAATCACAACACAAAATATTGTAACTAAAAAAATAAATACTACAGCACCAGATAACAAAGATTCCCCAACAGAAAATTCCCCCACATGTATAATTATTCCGAGAAAATTTCAATAGAATTAATGACATCTTAATAATATTTTGTTTGTTAATATGCAATGATGTCACCTGAATTCGCGGATGAAATATCTCATCAAGAATTTCAACAAATATACCCCCTCAAACTCTTCATTGTAATAAATTGAAAATGGAAAACTCCATGGTAGTGAATTTCCACCATCATCCCCTTCGATATTTGTTTGCCGAAAGTCCACGTAATCTTCCCAGGGAAGGAATGTAAACCATTCCACGAGTTTGTTTGCTAGCTCGCTGTCGATCGTTGCCTGTCTTACTTCCGTAAATCTCGTGGTAAACTTTCCATGACAAATCGCACAAGCAGACCCAACCCCCAAAACCCTCGAGCTCACGCTCTTTGTCTCACCCAAGAGCAAGCAATTTCATGTTACCCCGCCCTCTTGGTCTATCTCATCTGTCCCCTCATTGCGCCCTTCCACTCTAGAACCGGAACTGGCAAAAGTGCCTAGGAAGTGCCTCAATGCTTTTTATACCCAACCCCCTCCTCAACTTTTTTTTTTCTTCTGTACTCTCAGCCCCTCGTGTGCTATTACATTTTTAAACTTGTCGTGACGCCTACACCAGAGCTGCAATTTATGCGATTAAATTGAAGATTGAAATTTATACGCCCACTCGTGTTATTAAGGGTCCGACAATCAGAGATCATTTTGCGCTATTAATATTCTCCCCTGAATTGATAAGGGGAAGATCCTGTCGCGCTTGGAATTTTAACCGAAATTCTAGAGGAAAATATCGCCTTTGGGCAGAGAATTCACGGTAAAATTTCTACCTTTCCTCGAGTTCTCCGTAAACATGGAAATCCCCGAGTAATTAGCACACGAATTGAGTACCAGCGTCACCCCTAACGAAGAAAAAACGTTTTTTTTTTCATGAGAAAAAAAAACGGGATTTCAGTGGGATTTCGAGTCTCTGGCGTCGCGGCAGTCGGGATTAAACTGACCAGAAAAATTACAAAAGAAAAATGAAAGAAAAGAGTGGGAAAAAAATTCTCCGACCTAATGAAAACACCAAAAGGTGGTAGACGGTGAAATAAAAAAGTTTTGTTTGCCTACTCGGGCTCTCCCCAGGTTTCCTAGGAGCAGTTGCACGCGCCGCAATTACCATTCGTTGACTGTAAATTCGTTAAAAATACATTAAACTCGGATTTGACTCGGTGCTCAACGATTTTGCTGCGCCCCCCGAGGTGAACTTTCAGTGGAAAAAAAAAAATGGCGGGAAAAATGAATAAAATGAACTGAATGGTTTATTTTTTCATCAAAAGATTTTTACGGAATAGATTCGAAAGAGAATTCACGCTCGTACCAATCACTTTGGCTCGGATTGGCATTTCACTAATTAATAGGTTCGTTAACGCAGTCGGCATTATTGAGTACTTTTAATTGCACCAAAAACACTTGACATGGAGGGAAAAAAAGGCCAATGAAGGAACGTGAAATTTAATTGGGAAAAATGGAAAAGCAAAACATTATTCTTCCAGTACGGTTTTACATTCAGAATAATGCTTTTGGTTGAAATAAATTCGAGAAAGATGAGGGAGTGTGTAGAGTATTTAAAGAAAAAAGATCCCTCTCTTTCAATTCCAAACCTTCATTAAATGAAGAAATGATGCGGTTTATTAACCTGAGAGAGGAGTTGGCTGAGAACAGTTGAGACACTTGATAAATTCAATTTCTAATATCGGAAACTTGATAATTTCATTAATTAGAGATGAGTAATAAATAAGAGTGAAGTAGAAAGGAAATAAAGGAAAAAGTTGAAAGGTAAGGAAAAGGGTTTATTGGTAATTATGAAGTTGCAGGGAGTGCTCCGATAAAAACTTCATCAAATCAATTAATACGAACTTCATAAAACACTTAATAAATGACGTCTGACCCGATCTACACCTCAATCCCTTGCAGTCAACGATTCGATCACAACGAGAAAAAAGAAAATAGAATGGGAATAAAAGTAAGTAGCATATATAAGGGTTGTTAACGGAAATGTGAAAACTATGTGAAACAGATAAAGTAACATGATAAAAAACGAGCATTCGTAAAAAGAATAAAAATCAACTCGTTCGTTGGTGAAGTTATATACGAGAAAGCAACCTCCAGCGTAACGAGCGTCAACATTACTTTTATTTCTATATTATTCTATAGAATGAAAGCAAAGTGATAAAAATGGGTTTAAGAGGACGAAAAAAAAGAGGTTTAAGAGGAAATACTGTTTTCACATCAAGAGCTTTTTCCCCTCGTTATTAATTTTTCCTTTTCACCCGCTATTTTTATCCAACAAATTTACACTGCTAATTCGGGGGATTTTATTTTCCTTCTATTTTCATTTTAACTCATTCACTTTTACGCTATTTGGAGTTGCAAGGATTCTGGCTATTAGGTAATTCAATTTTTTTTTTCACTCCATTTTTCAGCCCGGAATTTTTTTCAGCGATTGGCAACTAATATTTTACTCATTATTTGTGTTTAGATTATGAATTCGTTTGGCCTCTCAAAACTACTGAGTAATATCAATTTGCTAATTAACAATCCATTGAGTGATGGAAATTCGATATGTTAATATAAGCCATTGGTGAATTATTTTTCTTTCTTTTAAATTGAGTATTTTTTTTTGTGGATTATTATTGGTATTGGTTCAATTCGAACTGTTTTTTCCCGTCAATCATTTTTCTCGTGGGAAAATTTTCAGGGAAATTCTGGAAAAAGTTTTGGTCTTCGACGAAAGATTAATTCAATAAGTTTGAGGGGCACGAGTGGTGTAATTTAAATCTGAGACTGTTTCCTCGGTGTACACTGTCAACACAGATACACCGAGAAGAGACTATCGAAGGGATGAACGTGAAAATGGTTTTAAAGTGTCTATGAGTGGTCGGGATTGGTGAGAGGCAAGTACAACAGACACAGTGATGGAATTGGTGGGAGGCAAGTTGGAGTTGAAACTTTACCTAAGATTATCCCCTTTAACCTGTAAAGCCAGGCATTCTAATTCCAAGTAACAACCGTCGTTTACTCGACAGTTGAAAATTTTCACCATCACACCGACAGAAGAATTCAGTGAATCACATGATTAATTAAATTGATCGATAAATCGATTATCCGCCCTTCCATCTGAATCTTTCAATACCAACCGGAATATTTAATTCAATTCAAACACGAAGTCTCCCCTGTCAGTGCAATGATTGCCATATTTTCAGTTTCACTCATCATCAGAGAATTAATAAAAAATAACAACAAGCAAATAAGTAATTGAATTAGTGATAACTCACTTTTGTGATGAGATCCTTGGCTCGACTCTCGAAGAGGTGCTCTAATTTTTGGGTATCCACAGGCACTGGTTGTAACTCATCCCAGATCATCTTGTTTTTGTCGAGACGCGAGAGAATGATTGGATCGTCCCTGACTTCCTTCCAAAAGAGTTTAACTGTTTTTTTACTCTTCTTCGTAGCAGTCTGGGGTGGTGGTGATTTAACAGTGCCAGGTGTCTCAGTAATTGCACACGATCTTGATGATTTTAAATTGACACCAAAAAGTGGTGGTGGTCCATTAGGAAAAGGCGGTGGAAATCTTCCACCAGGTGGTGGTGGTGGTGGTGCTTGGGCTTTTGTTCCATTCTGGCTTGATATCATCGGTGGTGGAGGTGGCGGTACTCCATTAGTCACGTTAACTGGCCCCAGCACGTCAATTTCATCGTCCGAATTGAGATCAGTGAAATCAAGATCACAAAGTGCCAACGGACGTTTCAGCTGATTGATGAGCTCTTCCCAATGCAGCTCATTCTCCGATTTTTTAATCTCTGACAATTTTGGTAGATTATCACCAGTCGGTGATTTAACAATATCAGCTTTTGATTTTGATTTAGCCAGGCCCTCTTTAGCTTTTGATATCAAACCACTCATATCCCCTATTCTAGATACTTTATCCTCAACAGGACTGCTTGGCATTAGATTCTGAGCTGTCAATTTTTGAGTTAAATCCTTAACAGTACCATCACGCTTCATCTGCACCAGTACTCGACGATCCTCATCCTCATCCGTATGATTTCCCTCGTCACACTCGACCCCCTCATCCGGACTCTTGCCATACCACGGTTTCTTCTCCTCCGAATCTAGCTTGTTAGCGACATTCATCAGTGGTGTAAGATCCTTGCGGCTATTGGCCCTTGATATCTTGTTGCTCGTTGTCTCGTTACGCTCGTACGGTGTACCATTGGTATAGCGTTGGCCATTCGAGACGAATGGTCCTTCAGTACCAGAAAATTACAACACAGTAAGAAACTATTGTAGCTTCAACAATACAACGTGAAACTCAACAGGATAAATAAATAAAAATAGAGTACATGTCATGTACCTTCTTGATCCTCTGTATTGCCAATGGTTGCTTTCATGTTTGCAGTGGCTTCTTGCTGCTCTCTGATAAAGCTACGTTGACGTTCAGCCCTCTCTCTTCGTCGTCTCAATGCCGGAGTCACTCCAACATCGTCTAAATTGATTAACTGAATTAATGGCTAAAGCAAACGTACTCTCCTCCTCACTCCCTTTCAATCCCTATTCGGCATCTCCCCCAAAAGCTAACCACAAGTCAAAGGCGTTTCCTCATGCAATCGTCTCAAATTGAACTGCTCGTATGCACAATTCAAATTTACTCAAGGCTCTAAAGTGATCACGTGCTGAGGCAAACCGAGATCATTTTCATTGGCATTGCTAATGACAAATTTACTCAATCCTCTGTTACCCATCCCTTCCCCTCATCCCCAACTATTCATTCTACATATGAATTGCTGATGGTTTATTTATTAGGATGAATGAAAAATTATTATCACAACTCACTGGGATATCCACCTTTGTTCTCCTTGTAGCTTCCATTAAGCTGAACATCACCAAGTCCCTGGGAGCTTTGTGAGCTGCTGGACTCGTCGTCGTCGTCGAGTAAACTCGAATTGAGTGTACCATTCAGTGAATTCAAACCGAGAGAATGATTCAGACGTGGACTCAGCCGGGCATTTAACGACATGGACAGTGGCGATGTGCCCGTTGAATGTCTACGAGATTTTCGACGCTCTTGGGAATCAACCAGGGACTTTCTGTTCCTCAGAGTTTTCCTTTAATGTCAAAATATTCAGCCGCTGAGTATTTGTAAAAAATTACCTCATATTTTTTTCATTTTTCAACTCTCGGGGGATATTGAAATGTTTTGTCATTGCAAAAGGGCTTTCATTGTTGGATAAATGAAAAATCATCATTATGCTGGCAATTTCAATTGTCAAACTCACAATGTTTAAATGATTTTATGGAAATTGTGAAAGGATTCAATCGAATCCCCGGATATAATTGGAATTTAGTTACATTGAAATCATTCTTCTGATGCACAATAAATGATGGAGTACAGTGATCCGTGGATGAAAAAAAAAAAATATCAAGTGAATGCAAATGAATGAGAGATGAATAAATATAATCACCTGATGTTATCGTCAAGCTGTCGAATGGGCGAGCCCCGGTCATTGCCATCCTCGTGATGCAAAACAGCCTCGTAAATTTGAAATTGCCTCAGTAAATCCAAATCAGTTCCCTGCTTCGACATGTAACGCTGAATAATTCCCTCAATTCCCTGCTCCTCGAGACAATCAACTTGATCGTAATAAGTGTCCTGATCGGGTATACCATTGAGACACTTATTGACCAGTGTTGTTGCATAAATGAGTAATTCAGTGTCAGCTGCATCGTAATCCTTGAGTAGCTTCATCACATTGGTCCATGGTATCATACCACGGGAGGTGTCAACTGACCGTACAGCACGTACTAAGAGAAGGCTGTTGGTCTCAACGTACTCGACAAATACGAGTAGGAGCTTGAGGGCGGTCTTGACGACAAGCCGAAACCGACTTGCAATGAGGGTGTACAGCCATTGAACTGTCTGGCCGTGCTCCATCACACCATTCATACCGTCTACGTACAGCATCACCTGGCCGAGAGCTGTGGGAAGAACAAATTATTTATTTTCACCCAGATAATATTAACGCCAATAGCTCTTCTGGTTTATTCATATTTCATCATTAATCTCATCGTATTGAAATACATTGGATATTCATTTCAAATTAAAAATTATGGGATTATAATAATTATTATTATAATTCTTGAATATATTTAGATAATTTTTGTTTATACACCACGATGGACTGAAAATAATAATAAATACGCGACGATAACCTGATAACTCATAATAAACGCAGTGAAATGAAACTTCATCACGATGGTATTTATCGTTTGATAACAACATTCTCTAAACCAGGGGTAAACGCTCGGTGGTACAGAGAGAGGAGATATACCCCAGGGGGTGGCCACACCAGGAATTACGGTGAAACGATAAAGCTCAGGCAAAAAGCCCGTGTTTGCGAGGCGTTTTCGAGTGCCTCGTAAAGTTTCACCCACTGTGGACCGGTTTCACAAGCTAGATCCAGGAAGCTGGGCTAACAAGAGTTTAGGGCGTAAATTCGAACGTTCACTATCTCCCAATTCAACCCTTACACCAGATCCTTCGGACTTTTTTTCAACCCCCGCCCACCCCCACCCGAAGAGTTTTCGAGTGATTTCAACCCCTAGATTTCGCCCCTGTTGCCATGAATTTGCCGATAGTTGGTATTTTCCCTGGGTTGGGATAAACCAAGGGCCTGGAAAAATTATCCACCGACCGAAAAACTTTTAATTGAAGCAAGAGTGAATTCTGGTTTTTATTTGCTGATGGGGATTACTAGTGGGGAATTAAGCATTCACTTGTTTGAATTTTTTAATTGAAGACAAAGTGATGGAATAGTTCTTTTTTTTTTTTACTAAAGTGATTGTTCCGGGGAATGGATGAATTCTGTTGAACCATTATCTCCACAAACTCAAAAACTCTGTGCTTACTTTTTATCTCGGAAAAATCCACGATTCAACAGCTGAACAAGCGTTAAATCTCGGTAAACCGTCACTTTTTCACCATTTTATCTCGAAATTGAATTGAATTAAATTGGCATGAGAAAGAGAAATTGAAACGTTCTGGAATTTTTGAATTAAATGGAAGGCCTCGGTTTGTGGAGTGATTGAGGTGATCAGATCATCAACGTATCACTCAACATTTTTTTCTTTCCCCTAGAGCCCCGGGGTTAATTGATAACCAATGAGCAAACGGATGGAAGAAAGCAGTGAACTAAGTGGAATAAGTTAAGTCGATTATAAAGTTCAAATGAATTCGAGAGGGATTCTCGCACGAGTAGTGGAAGAAACTCCTTGAAATTTCAGATAATTTCACACGTCATCGAGCATTGAAGGTCCAGTGTATAAAATCATCCCCCAACTCGTCATAGTTTTTACCCTCATGTTTTCAGGAGTCAAAGAGTCATCGAGTCAGAATCATTATCGATTAAATTATCTCGGGGTTGCTCCCAGTCATTTATTATCACAAACGGGTGGACAGGGAGAATTACTTTTCCCCGAGTTAATCAACGCAGAATAGGTTGGAATTGTCGGTGAAAAAAAAAAGAGGTCTGGGTTATCCCTAGAATTCTCTTCAATTTTTTTTTCACCACCCACCCCTTTTTATTCATCCCCATTTTATTTTTATTCCATTTTCCCATTTGATTTTTTTTTTCCTCACTCCTAAATTGCACACCGTTCTACTGGACGGAGTAACTTTAATTAAACTACGAAACGTATACAAGTTCCGAGCCATTTGTTATCCGTCTCACTTTAATTCAACCCCTTTAACACGTATCTCCAACTCACTTGGTTCTTCTCATACAGTGCATAAAAAATTCTTCACTCCTTTTTTTTTTTCTTTTACCACCCAGTGCTTTCCTCGTTTTTTTCATCCTGTCGTTTTCATTCGTTTGCCTTTCGCTTTCTCATCTGTTTCAAGCATTCCCATACAACTAACAGTTGAGATTTATGAAGGGTGAAAATGCCCAGAGCCAATGTTTCCTTTCTCATATTCACATAATTTTTTTTTTTAATTAAAAATCTACATCTATTTCTTCCACTCTATTGTGAATTTATTCCATCGCTCCATCATTTTAATTAATTGCATTTTCTTTAAAAATAATAGCAATAATTAATTCATAATAATAATCATATCACTAAATTTCGATTATTATTACTATTACTATTTATTATATTTAATTGATTTCTCATCTTTCTGTGAATCACAAATGCAATCGCAATGCAATTGGTGTTCAATATTTTTTTTTCTGTGAGTAATGAGAGACGAATTGTATAATGGAATTTATTTTTCGTTTTTTTTTCCACCCATTTGCGAAAATTTAATCGATAATGACTCTCTCGGTGTTTCTAGAAGAAAATACTTTTTTTTTTTCATTATGATAATTTGTTCTTTCGAATGATAAAAGAAAGTGAGGACTCATTGAACCGCGCATTTCCGCGGTGCAGTCATTACTACAGTTTTCATCACGGAAGAAAGACGGTGGAAGTTATTATGAACAAAAGAAACCGACTAATCCATAAGAATTAATCGGCCAGAAAGGTAGTATTGTTGAACGAGAGAGGGGATAATGAGAATTATAACTTCAGCCGCGAGACAAATGAATTGTGATGAATTGTATTTCCTTGGAGAAGAATTAATAATTATTCGTCAACTTTCTTTAATTAAAATTCAACCGGATTGCCCTGATTTTTCAAGTGATGCCCATTCACTCGACTAATTCCATTTCAAATAGATGCTCAATTACTCTATCGTTGCAAATCATTGACCAGTACAACCATTAAACCTCGCATTTATCATTACACAATCATATCTACAGTCATTACGCAAAAGCCAATTAATCGTTGTAGATTGGAAGTACAATCAATCGAAGCAAATGGGAATCAAAAGCAACGGAGATTGTGTCATCCATTTGTCATTTCTCAATGAAATTATTCAGACTTTGTTACCCGAAAAAAAAAAAACAAAAAACAAAAAATCATTCGCTTGAATTCAATTTCATTGCATCTCGATTTCATTTTTCTCGAACGGACATTTTTATTCTTATTCTCATAATAAAAACCCATTGATAAATAAATTGGTGGGAAAAAATATTTTTCGGGATGAGACTCGATTGATATTATCTCTTGATTCTAATAGCATCAAGTCATGATTATTATTGCTTGGTAATGCATAAGGTATCAGTAAATTAGACGTTTCGGCTTATCTGCTCATGGGTTTAGCGCGAATATACTATGTGTCACTGTCAGCAGTCAGAATCGATGGAAACTTAATCACGTGAGACTTCATTAGAGGAAGGTGATGTGACATCGATAACGAGGAATTGAAGCAAACCGAGCCGTTTGGCATCATTATCGTATGCGATCGGTTGATACCGAAGATTTCCGCGCGTTAACGAGACATCTATACGATCCCAGTGTATCCAGTAAATTTCCAAATGCAATCAACATTGATTTGAATAAGGAAATTGTGCAATTGAAACTAAATCAATCATCTGGACGACACCCGTACAAATTCACCGATAAATGATCGATAATTCGAGATCGATAGTAATTCGAATAATTAATGTCATTCAGTCCAAATGAATCGTTTCTTCGGTGCAAATTAATTCAATTCAATAACTCCGATAATTCGATTGTGTAACAATTGCGTATCGATTTTATAATGGTATAACGATAAGTACTCACCTCTGAGTATGTAATTCTGATAGTTCTGATCTGCCTCATTGCCCACCTTGATGAGACACGCCAGTCCGTCATTCTGCACAAACTCATGAACGAGATCCTTGTCCTCCTGTAATAATAAATGTACATCAACCGTCAGACGTATTATTCGCTATTTAAAAAAAAAGAAATGAACGGATAATAAAAGTCGCAATGAGAGTGAATAAAGGAAAGAGCCGGGGTATACAGATGAAGAATAAGAGGAAGATGAAGTTTGAAAAGTAAATGGAGGAAAATTTTAATTTCAAGAATAATAGGGTTGACGTTTATACGACAGGTAACGTATTTCAAGGATGAATCAAGAGGGGGTGGTCTCTTAAAAATATCTTTTTTTTTTTCAAATGGTGAACATGACATTGTATTAATTTGAGGGATGAAAATGTAGGATGGAAAAGTGGAATGGGCTTCTCTCTGGCTGATGCACCAGGGGAAAGTTTAAGTCCAGCCATTCAATTTGTCTGTCCGTTTCCGAGTGTCTAATCCCATTCCCAGTTCTCACACTCTTCTCTCTCTTGAAATTCACCCATACCACGACTAAATCGCGAAAACGAATGGGAATTAGTTATATCGTGGTGACGCAAAGTCGCAGGACATAATGGAAAATCCACCAAGTTTGATTAAACTCCTGACTCTGTCTCTGTTTCATCCCATGACCCAAAGTACCTTCTACAAGCCTTTACCAATGGCCAACTCCTGTTCATCACGTACCTCTCTTTATTCATCATTTACCTAGAACCTGTCTATCTCCCTCCCTACCCATTCCACTTTACCCATCGATTTTATATCCACCGAATTTCCACTCACCACTCATCCCCTCGTCCATCTTTACTCATACACTTTCTTCGTTATCGAAAATTGACGGAAATATTTGAGGTATGGGGAAAAACCCTCGCCAGACTCGATGTGTCCAATCCGTGAAAACTTGATTAAATCGCGGATTAAGTCGCGAGATTAAATGTTAACACTGGAATTCTGTTTGCATCATAGGAAATTATGGGAAATTCTCTCATCACGGATCGATTTAATTCCACGTGAATAGTTGTTGTTTTTTTTTTTCATTATTTTTACGAATGATTTAGCAAAATCATTGAGAAAAAAATGGAAGATCGTGATAATGAATTCAGAACGAAAGTCATTTGCTTCATTGATGTTATAAATACTTTTAAAAAACCGATGTGCATCTTGACTGTGGGCATTACGGATGCGACAGGAATAGTAATTAGCCCACGCGAAATTCAGGAAGAGGGAGAATTTAAATGGAAAGAAAAAGAAATGAAAAAAGAATGAATCGAATGACTGTGAGAGGAGATACCGAAAAGAAAGCGGCAGAACGGCTGCCATCTCTCACAAATATTTACTCGTGCAAGCCATAGAGAGGCAAAAGCAAGATGAGGACGTTAAGAGGGTGAGGTGGGGAAAAGAAACGAGTTGGATTTTAAAAATAACCACCAAGTGAAAAACTCACCTGAAAGATCTGCTTGAGGGAGAAGAGTGCCCGTCGCAGCTCTCGGCCCTCGCTGTTCAGCAATTTTTCTGCAACAGACAAGCAACACGCAACCATTTATTATAATAATACGAGCCAGAATCGGGGGAGATAGAGATGACTCCGAGGTAAAAATAATAAAAGTATATTTTATTGTTAATGCTGGGTGGGACGAGGGGAAATGCACAGTTTTCCTCATTTGCGTTGGGAATTTTCGTTTTTTTTTTCGTCAATTTGTCGTTGATTATCATTTTTTTGATTTCACTGGAAATTCAGGGAAAATTACATTTTTTTGGTGATGAAAGGAGAATTTATTAATTTATTCAAGTTTGCTGGGAAATTATGAATTTCATACTGAATTACAGATAATTTTTTTTTTAATTGAGAGTTTTATTTTATGGGGATAAATATTCAATTGAGTAGAAGTTTCATTGGAAATGGGGGAAATTCCAAATAATTTAGTTCAATAAACGATTTTTTTTTTCTGAAATGAATTGTCGAAAAAATGATTTCCCTTGAAGTTAAAGAGGGAAATTCAAGTTTTGGGTTGCGTTAATTCCATGAAAAGGAAAAGCATTGAACGGCAATATCTAGGGTTAATTTGATATAAATTACCAGTACCGGATTAAGGTACTGCATATATACCACTCACTTACTCTTCATCTCAAACTCCTCTCGCCTCACGGCAAATTCTTTTACTATCAAGATTGGAGCTAATTTTAGAATCGTGAGAGTTTAACTCGACTACAAGGGGGGGATGATTCTCTGATAGTCAGGCAACTGATGGAGAATTTAATAGAAGTGGAAAAAAAATAAAGAGGAAATAAAAAATTTCATGTCAAGTGCAGTTATGACTGTAGTTAAAGGAAATTGGAAAAATCGTGAAATGGATATTTAACAGCAACCGAGAACAATCGAAATCCAATTAATTCAAATGGTTAAATATATTTTTAACGTTTTGTCATTTTATCAGAGAATTAGAAATAAATTGATAAGAAAAAGTTTATCGACTTTTCCTTAATTTACAGTTTTCACTCGTAAATACGGTAGCATCTGGCACATTCATTTACCACCGGAATATAATTTCCAAATAATGGACGAAAACTTCACAACGCAATGAACTTTACTCGATTCAAATAACTTTATGTCCCCAATCGTCAGTCCGTGAATATTCCATTTAACCCGAATTTAATTAGATCTCAGATGAATTTTCGTGTTTGTCCTCTATTTCTGGTCACGTACGAATTTTATTTTTTTCGGAAATCTCATCTGCATGAGCTGCAGTGGCACAACAATTTTTTTTCAGCTAGTCTATGCATCAGAATTTTTTTAAAGACAAGAGAAAAAAAAAATGAAATGGTGGGGTCGGGTGTTACCGATAATAGAGCTTCATACCGATTTTCAGTCGTTCTTTTTTCCTGCGGCTGGCTGAGGACAGACTTTTTTTTTCTATTTACCCTCTTGATCTACTCTCTCAGTCATCCTGAAAGCACTATACCCGTTTTTTTATTCCATTTCCCCTTTTTTATTGCTCGTTAGAAGCTTCAAAACCACGACGACGGCTTCTCGAATGCAAACACTTGAAGATTTTTCTGCGTAATTATCCACTGAACCACCCCTTGTTGGTACCCGGATTTTTTTTATATTTAAATGAATATACGTGATTTACGGTCCTGTGATTCGTGGAAAATTGCCATTAATTAATTATACGACTGATTAATTTATTTGAAGTTTGTGAGTGGTTGAGTGAATATTAATGTTTCAGAAAATGAATTGCGAAGAAAAATGAATTTCAGGTCTCGATGGGAATTCAGAACTTTAAAGAAAAAGGAGACGAGAATTCAGCAAATTGTGGACTAAAGTTTTGCCATTTTTTGAATTTTTAACATTCTATCTATTCCTCTTTCCCCTCTCCTCTTTATATTAAGACCTTTCCAATTAATATGAACAATCAACATCAAATTTCCTGATTAATAACCCTAATTAATGGGTTCTTCCGAAGAATTATCAATTTTCTATGAGAGGAACTACCGAAATTTTTTCGAGTCCAGTGATTTGAACGCGACGAAAAATGTGAAAAGCCACGCGAATTCATTAGTGAAAGAAATATGGCAAACCGTGGCTTTCCCTCATTCGTAAATGCCAGAAACACACGAGCATGAATTCCGAGATGAGGTAATTGCCACTTCACAACTAACGTAAATTGAAGGAGTACCGCAGAAGGAACAGGAGGAAATTCAACGGAGATCTCTAAATTCGCCCGAAATTAGAAAGTGTCACGATTACTCTCCGACGATAAGGAAAGCGGATCTATCATATCGCGAATTACCTCAAAGTGATTTTTTATTTTTTTCATTCAGCGAATGAGTTATGAAAGGGCTGAGTTAAATTAAATGGAGAAAATAATGTAATGGAGACACACAGTAGGTACCTGCATAATCGGATACTATCACGCAATCTCTGAATGTTAATACATTCTCAGAGTGGTGGGTTGCATATCTCGGAATAACCGTTGGGGTAGAATGTGCGTTTATTGAGAATGCAGCAACCGATGGTAATTAGGGAGATTTTGCTGGGACCGGTGAAAAATGGGGTGCCGCAATTTTTTCGTTTTTTTTTTTAACCACATTCTCACCGAAATTTAGATAATTATCAAAATCATTTTTTCATCGCGGTAATTAAATTTTTCAATGATCAATTTGAGAGACAGAAAAGTCATGAAAATTGGGGATTAAATTCAATTGATTAATTATCAACAAATTTGGGAATTTAGATAATTAATTCTGCTATTTAAATTAATTTTCGTTATCCCGGAAATTGCAATTTTCATGGATATTCAAATTGTTAATTTTTCTTTTTCGTTAAAGAGGGATAATTGCGAGGTAATTAATTAATATGATTAATTAATATGATTAATTTTGCAAAAATTTGACATCTTGGGTAAGTAATTCCCTTAATTTTCATTGTCGTGTAAGCGGAAATTAGAATTTGATTGGATACTCAAACAAATTATTGATTTTTCATTTGAAACTGCAAGTGCAATGTTTAACAGGCAAGGGTAAACACTGTGTTTAATCAGCGAGAAACTTGCGGATTATTCAAAGAATTTACACTGGCTGTCGGTCTTTAATACCGCAATTTTTAAAACATACACAGCAATGTAAATTCTTGGGGAGGACACACAGACCGGCGTTAATTCGGTTCTCATGATCGACGCGCTAGTGTCACGTACCTGGAATATTTACATTAATTAAACAGAGACCAGGTACCGAGGACTGAAATTACGAGGGAAATTGGTTGATTCACTAACAATGAAATGAATTTTGCAACTTCACGAGCGACGAGAAACACAAGAAAAATTGGGGAAAAAAAAAAAATCCCTGAGCAACAATTCTTCGTTTAACGATATAAATAACTCTCCAACTGCCTAACAAATTGACTCCATGGCAATTTTCATTGAATTTTTTTCAGCAATATCGTGTACCAGAGGATACGAAATGGGTCGACCGTTAAAATATGTAAAATGCATCTTTCCCTTTTCGTGCGTTGTGATTTTTTTTTTTTCATACCCCCCACCTCATTTATTTCCCCTCAAGTTCATTGAACGCAAACAGGTGAATCGAATTCACAATGAATTATAATGATTTTTCTGGTGTGAAGGGGCGGAATATTCCCTGCCCCCCCCCCCATTTTATGGTTGAAAATATCTGGGATGAACATCTGGGGAAATCTACCGAGGCAAATGCAACTGAGAGACATTCTCTTATTTCGTAGTGGTTAACCCACCATTGTGAGGGGGAATTAAATACCACAGTTGTAGAATGTGTCTTGGGTATATTTTTGAGCATGTACTTCCCTCATTCTTCCACGGAGAAATGGAGAATGTGTGTCAGAGTGTAAAAATGAAAATGGAAGGGATATGTATTACTGCGAATGGGAGTTTCATGTTCATCTGAGAATCAAATGATGCAAATTTTTATGATTCCATTAGAATTCATGACGACATTGACGGTAATAACATTGTCTCCACGTTCATCCAAAAGAACGGCAATACGCGAATTCGCTTGAATCTACAATTTATCCCTTTTTAAAAAAGCATTTCTCAAATTACCCGATTGCGCGCCCTATTTGAATTTCCCTCTATATTATTTTTATATCCTAAAAATACATAGAAAACAAAAAAATATATAAAATATCGTTCAATTCGATATATTCCTCCCATATATCAAGAACGTATAAATTGTATATATTTTTTTATCATTTTCATGTAAAGATGTTATTGATGAATGAAGAAAATATCATTTTCACCTGCAGTGGAATTCTTCTCGTGTGGAATTCACTCGCGGATTTCGATAAAATTTTGACCTTGAGATAGTTAATCTCGGAGGTGATGGGCAAGGTGTTGGTGGAAAATACCACGAGGGGTTTATCTGAACCAATCCCAGAACGTGGTGCACACGTACCGTTACGCTCGAGTGATCCTCATGCCGCAACTGCTTAATCGACCGATCTTTCCCCCCTTGGTTTTCTCTCTATCCCTTTTAGACTGTACAACCCGACCTGAGACACCTCCCCCCCTCCCCTCCTCCCCCTC